ATTTGTTTTAATCGTACAAAGCGATTAGAAATTTAAATCTCGAAACTTATAAATTTCTAATCGCTTTATACGATTAAAACAAATACTTTCAACCTGATAAAAATATAAATATATTTCTTCTATGATTTCTTCTGTGATCATTAAATATTTTGTTATTGATTAAGCTTTCATTTGCGGCAAGAATTTATCAATTAATACATGCAAGATGAATTACAAGAAAAGAAATAACTTTGAGAAAAGGATAATAAATTTAAAATAATATGCATGATTTTGCTGCTATTTCAATGAAATATATCTGGTTTGGCTATAATGTATTAAAATTGAATAAATAACTTTATGGACGCTCAATGTATGAGGGAATTAGGCCTTATTTTTACAATAGGCCTTGTAATATTTACAAATGTTGCAAGCTGATAGTCGAGGCCAAATACTGTATTAATATTATATATCGTGTATATATTACATTTTTTTGAATAAATATAAATAAAAATAAATAGAAAATATTGAAAAAAAAAATTTATAATCTATTGGAACATTAGTTTTATATAGTTATAGAAAATTATTATCTCTTCTCTATACTTAATTGTTCAACTTTTACAAAATATGTTAACGATATGTTAATATCTTGCATAAAAAAAATGATGAAAAAATTCCTTAAAAAGCTTCCTAGAATTTAATACTGCTAACAGTAATATAATATAAATAAAATATATATCGAATAAAATTATCTAATAGACAGCATTTGACTCATAAAAATACTCATCAATTTCGTGAAGCAAAAGAATGAAATATTTAACTATAACAAAAAGATTTCATTGCAAAATTTGCAGATTATACAAGAATATATTTGTTTTCAATGTCTTTTTATGTAAATCAAATTGATATTTTCTTGATGTAAATTAAGAAAATATTAAAATAATGTCTAAATGTTGAAAAAAGAACGCTTCCTTATGTACCATCACAATGAAATTATTTCACGTTTTATATTTAAAAAAGCTAAAAACAAAAAAATAATAAATTGAATGTTATGCTGTACCTCTACAAACTAAGCACATATTGTTGCGATCTGCCTCGAATTTGCTTCTAATTTATTGGACTAGTTTGTACAAGGCACTAAATGCATCTGATATCGACATTTACATATAGAAAAAATTATGCTATCTCCAAATACACTGAACGTCCAAAAGTAATTAAGATGAGTGTTTGAATAGTATTTATAAGTACAATACTATCATATAGGATGCTAGAAAATCGTAAAACAATCGAGAAGGGGATAATTCATCGAAAAGCAAATATAAATCAATTTGCAAAATAAAAATTTTTTATATAAATCTTTTCCCGAAAAATAAAACGTAGTCAGTATGCCCGAAATAAAAACATATTTTTTAGATACAGCTGTATTAATATCGTTTATTTTTATATTTTTAGAATATTATTTGATATGCTCAAAACTCGGCTCAAGATTTTTCTATAGACTACTTATAGTATTTCCTAGAACATAAATTGAATTATTAATTCTTTTATTGAGATAAATATTGATCTTTTAAAAAAGTAAATCAAAGGAATACTATACAATTCATTTTTATAAAAATATTCTTCTTAAATGTAAAGTTTAGATATAAAAATTCCTTTTTCTAAAGAGAAGCTTTCTTTTCCATTGGAAAAATGTCATCCCCTTCACGAATGCTATTACAATTCTCATCGCACACTATATAGTATTGGAAAATATACATCAGACTCTCTCTTTTCATTATTCATTCTTTCAACAGTCATCTTAAAATATTTAATTTAATATGCCTATCATATCATATTCGTGTGTCATTGATTACTTCATTTATCTTAATATACAAGAATGATTTCTACAAATGGCCAAATTTCAGGTATTCTACTCTTTGAAAAAAAAAAAATCATATTAAAATAGATTTTGAAATACTTTCCACATATATCAGAATCTAATATTATGTTAGTAATACATGCCAATAACAATATACAAATCAACAATATATAAATCATCAGTCTGTTCAAAAGTGTTAGAAAATTAAAATTATATTTATTAATATAAAAAAATTTCTAATTGTCCACAATTCAATTCATATTGTATGGCCCTAGAACTTAATTTTCAATAATCAAGATAAATGGAATGTGTTCCTGAAATTTAGCCATCCATTTTAAAATCACTAATGTTATATATACTAAAGTAAATATCTATGTATAATATTATATACATATCTTCTAAAAGTTAGAATTGCACCCAACTAGCATTGGCCACTGTAGATGCAGGCGCAGGTGAAGGTGCTGATGCCGATGCTGACTGAGAAGCACTGGCAAACTCACCCCACTCTGAACTTGTGACTTCTTGATTTTTGACTTTGCACTGGTTTATGTGCCGGTGAAGAAGTAGGAGTTTTTTGCTGGTGGTGGAGCAATTTTTACACCACCTGGAGGAGGTGGCAGACCCGCGGCTGGATTAGCACGTTGTCTAGATTTCGATGCAACCTCACTGCCATCTTTTTCTAAGTAATAAATTATTTATTTTAAAATTAAATTGTCGATATTTAAGACAATATTTCAGATTTTTTGTATTAATCTACACATATAAATTTTTTTTAAAAAGCAATAAAAAAAATTAAAATATTTTTAAAAAATCATAAAAAATTAAAATAATTATTTGGCAAATATCTAACACATAATATTTTTCTCATATTCTTTTTAATTTTAATTTTAAAAAACACCAAATCTTTATAGTTTAACAACATATTTGTCAAGAAACAGATATATGATAAAAGGATTCTTACGGTGATCTTCATATTAATCTTGATAGTTTCACCCTCTTTAAATCTGAGATCCAACTCTTGTTTCGGTTTTTCCTTCTCTTTTTCGATTTGCTCCCGATTCTTTAACCATTTAAAATGATCCTGAAGAGCAACATTCAGATCAAAACTGTCAGACCTATCTAAGAAGCCAACACCTATGAACGCTGATCGTCCATTGTCATCTTGGATCCTCAAGACAAAGTATCGGGACGAGTCAGTGACTGGTTCTACCGCTATTCCGGGATACTGCTCGATGGGACACTTGGCAAACAGTTCGCCCGAGATCTTGTCTTCCAACTTTATCGTAATACTGTCGCCCTGTGACACCAATCGCATACGGCCGGTCCAGGAGGGTTCTTGCAGGTTCCAATCGGCTGCCCTGTGACAGTGATCGTGAAGTCAATAGGTGCTTTCCATTTAGTGACACAAGTCGACACAAGTATCGTTCTATCTTTCTTGGCTTTCAATGATTAATAAGGACTAAAATGATACTTGTGTCGATTTGTGTCACTAAATGGAAAGCATCCAATATCTCATACATTCCGAAACAAGTATTTCACGCTGGCTTTACTTAAGCGATCTAACTCTGAAAGGCCACCTCAACGAGAGAAAAGAGGAAGAGAGAGAAAAGATCGCGGAACCATCGTTCGATAACATATTGAACAGTTTCATGAAACGTCGAAAACGTGTCGAAAAAGTCTCACGCTTACCGATAACCCCTGTTGGTCGACCTTGGTGGAATTTTGAAGACGAATACCTCGGATTTCACCAGGAGAACGCTCTCATACGTCTCCATCGCGCTCGCCAACGATGATTCTCACGCGAGCAACAAACGCAAGAACGCACAAGACAACCACGGAGACTCTCCCCGCAAGTCTACTGTTTGAAGGTTCGTTTGCACTCCCCTGACAAATCGACAAATGTCCGCTGTGATCAGCCGTGATTTGATAACTCTATCTCGAGTCACGCCTCCTGTCCTCCCTGCCCCGACACCCCTCTAGACGACTGCCAACCACCCACGAGTCGTCCATAGATTAATCGCATATAGACTGAGACCGACTGAGTTGGCTTTTTACGCGCGACGCGCGACCAAAGGAAGCGTGACTCACCAACAGGAACGCGATTACGCGTGAAGGAAATGATTAGCAATTGCCTTATCGACATTCAATGTCGATTCAGTGTTGACTGTTTGTAACGAGAGTTATCAATTTATAATTATAAACATAAGAAGGAGATAAAGAGAGAAAGTAAGTAAATGCAATGAAGCAGAAGTGATGTATTAAAAAAAAAAAAGATTTGTAAGGGAAAATTGATGAAAAATAAATATAAATGATTGATAAACAAAAATTTGTTTAAATTCCTACAAATAAGATAAATTAAATTTACACTTCTTGATAGATATTAATAATAATATGCTCAATATACTACTTTTTGATTAATCAAATCGCCAACAATTCTTTTCTGATTGGTCAAGAAATAATCGTAGATTCGAAAGCGCATGCGCAAACACAATTGCCATTTCTTGTGTAATACGGGCATTATATATCACATCTGACGCGTACGCACTAACCACCACGCGCGCACACACCACGCACGCACGCACGCACGCACGCACGCACGCACGCACGCACGCACGCACGCACGCACGCACGCACGCACGCACGCACGCACGCACGCACGCACGCACGCACG